TTAGGCGCCAACTTATCAGCGTAATAAAGTGGCAAGGCAACCAGTTGGAACAGTTTCTGTGCGGCGGCAAAGTGGCAAAGTGTTGAACTTGAAAACGAAAGCAAAAGCAAAACGGGAAAGAAGCCGAAATGGTGTGGGTCGATAGGGGAATACTCTTCTAAAAATAATTACTAAGTTTTAATAATACATTTCCTTTGAATTCTCAAGATTTGGGTTTCATTTATTAGAAATTAATCATAAATGGCTTTGAATATTGAGCAGAATGGATTAAGAATCTTCTTACAATAAGAGAAGAACTTCCTTTTCCATAAATTCAGCCCCCAGAAAGAGCATTTCATTACCAGAATATTGCCTTTTTCGCAACCACGTAGCATAAAGCACTTGAAATTGGTTTTGTTATCTTGTGGAGCAGCGGGCGGAAAAAGGGGTGTTGGCAACCCTGCCCCAACTTATCTTTAAGCCACGCGCTAATTTGAAAATAATGCTCCCCAATCATTTTCACATTTTTTCACATTTCCAGGCACTTTAGCCTTCCTCGCGATCGGCGTGGAGTGAGCAATAAGAGTACAGACAACCCCCTTTGCCATTGCCTTGTGGTTGCTAGCTGGCCGGCTGGCTGGCTGACTGGCTGGCTGGCTGGCTGTTTGGCCCTCCCACTTGTTGATTGTCTGTATAATTACATAATATTGCATAATTTTGCAAAAAAAACAGTACTCGGTCGCTTTTGGGATTTCTGCTCTGTTAGCTTTTCGTAGAGTCTCGGAAACTTAGAGTCTTTGGGGTCTCATTATCGTCGGCTGACCGACGATCTTCTTCGTTTTCGCTTTCAGTATCAGTGCACAATGTAGTACTTAAATAATAGAAGTTTAATAGCGTTTTGTTTGGTACCGGCCGCATTTGCAAGTCGTTAGTTTCTGCCAGTGCTTGCTGTGCTTTTTGCCTCTACGGTTTTTGGACTACTAATGCATTCAGCTGTAGGATTTTTGTCAAGGTTATCCAGTTGGCTGTGTTAGCGGATATAATGACATGATGCATACGATGGAAGCCAAAGTCAGCATCAATTTCGGTTCTCTAGTGTTGCTTTTTTTCCTCTGCTTATTGCTAGCTCTTGGCTTTTCGGGAGGAAGTTCAGTTTTAAGAGCGTTGTAATTGTGTGCTGAGTTCGTTCAAGTTCGCTGCCTTAGTCATTTGGCAAGAGCCTAACGAACTTTTGAAGAACTTTTCTACCATCTACCACCATGTGCAATGTTCTTTCAGTTTGGCTCTGGGGGCTTTTCGACTGGCTAATTTCGCTCATTAATCATCGAGCGGCGGCTGCGGGAGAAAATCGCTCCGAAAACTGATTACACATGTTCGGCCCACCAAATCAAAGTTGTGCCAAAAGGCTCCACCACATGAAGCCATCTGTTCTGCAGTCAGTGAAATGTATCTGCAAACAAATGAAGTTGTCTGCCAGGCAGCTAACTCATTCCGATTCTAAGGCACCGTCTAGTAGAGTCATCAAGTCCAGGATTGATCATTGATCTTTTGGCACTCAATCCTCCGCCTTCTTCTCGTCGGCTCACGAATTATAAATAGTGCAAATGCGTGCAGTGCATCATCATCATTAGTTTTCGGCCAAAAAAAAAAACGAAAAAAAAACCCTGGCAATAGACTTGTCTAAAGTCTTGGCCTAGCCTAGCCTCCACTTCTGCCTGATGCTGCCCTACAAACTTGCTCTGGCAATTATACGAATCTATGTGTCTGTCTTTAGTTTCGTTTGCTAAATTGTTTCAATTTGTTTTGTGGTTTGTGTGATTACCAGGGCCAGGGTACTCTAACTTTTTAAATGGATTTAAATGTTGAAAATCTTAATTAAATATTATAAAAATTATACATTTTTCTTAATAATTTTCAAATTGAAATGACCTTTGATGAGGATTTTTCAATATTAAAAATGGATTTTGAGAAATTAACTTAAATTTATTAACCTGTAAGTTGAACAATTTTATGACTGATTTGTTTAATAAATAGTTTTTTATATTATATTATTATAATTAGCAAAATAAAGCCATTTCCCGAAAGGGTATTTCCAATTCCCTTGCCAATTCATCGCCTGCTGCCTGCCAAGTTCGTGTCCTAAGTCTTTCGTTTCGTTACGTTTTGCGCTGCAAGTCAGGCATTTTCTAATTGCAAGTTAATTTCTTGTTGCGAACATAAATTTAACATTCTAATTGAGTTATCAACCGCAACATGTACATACACACTCCGAAAACTACACACCAAAAACAAAAAGAAGAAGAAGTAGAGAAACACAACCGCGACAGGAGAGGATGCGGCGGTAAAACAAGTAGGAGAAGGAGATGCCGACGCCGGACAACTTTTACAGCTTCTCATCTCATCCTCGTCCTCCAGCCCGTGTGTTCACTTTGGGTTTTCGCTTCCAAACTGGCTACGCATGTGAAAAATGGCCTACACATGAAGCCACTGAGCTTGTTGTCCGCTCCTCAGCCTGACTGCTTTTCCAACCACAAAAAAATAGGAAAAAAAAAATCTAAAAAAAAAACTACAACTACAACAAAGCCACAAGCGTCCGGGTAAGTGCAGTAATTACATTTCGGTGTGTGTAAGATTTTGGGCCTTTGCTAATTTGCCTGCTGCTTCTGTTTTTCTTATTTAGTTTTTGGGCATTTATAACTAATTTTTCTTCCCAGCTTCTGCGCTGCCGTTGAAAGAATTTTCCAACGTGAAAATATGCACCTTGGCATGGCTCGTAATTAATTTACTTTGTGTGTTTGCCCGCTGGCAGCCGCAAAGGAGAACGACACACACACACACCGACAGGCAGATGAAAATATGAAAAAAATCCATTACGCAAATGTTTATGACCAAAATGGTCAGCAAGCGAAGATGCAGCAGCCTCTTCATCTGCTGCTGCTGCTGCTGCTGCTGCTGCCAATGCAAATAGAAAAGATTTGCCAAAGCCCCCTAGATGCGTGTGCCCCAAAACTGAAGAAGCAGATGGAAAATATGGAGTTTGGAGGATGGGAACCAAGTTTCGGCTTGGAGTCAAGTGAGCTTCTCTCACATACATCATAACATTGTAATGCATTTTCGCCTGGACCGCCCCCCAAATAGGTCCCCCGACCCCACCATGAAAATTATTTTTCTTTTTCTTCGCAGCATCGTGTCATCAACGGTATTTTGGAGGCGTGATTGTATCGAAGGTCGTGGCAATATGGAGATGTTGCAAGAACATTAAAACGCTCCTCGTACATTTATGGCCGGCTAATGCAGATTTGTGTAGTGCTGAGCTTTAAGGTTTCATTAGGGGAAATATTTGGCGGAGTTTGTTTTATGGTTGCTGCATGCTTGCAAACTAATGAAAATGTGGAAACTGTGGAAAATATAAAAAACTGTAAGTGCTGATGGGACATGGAAGACCACCAAAAAGGAGAGACAAGCTCTATCAGACACTCAAAAAGGCTATGAAGTGATATCATTTCTCAATTTAGTTTTATTAACTGCTCTAATAAAATTCAAATTTAATTACTTCAAGCTGTTTCAGATCTTTCCCATCCCAGAGATAGTAACTCGATACGTCGTTATCTCGGCTTGTATTAAATATTTTAGTTTATTTTCATTGGCTTCTAATATGCATAAATAATTATGGCTATTCATAAGGCAGACAATTTTTTCGCATTCGCTTATATTTTTTTGTATTTCTTTTTTTGCATTTTTTAAAAACATGAAGTTAAATTTATTTTTATGGCTTACTAATAATCACTATATATTTTACTTCAGAAATTCGTTATGATAAACTTAAAGAGAAGACCAAGAGAATATTTACAAATGTAGACTAAGACTAATCCAATGGCATTCCTCAGGCGTTCCCGGCTCGTTTCATATTCATAAATTTATTAGCTAACGCTACCAACTTGCCGCTCTCGAAGACATCGGTTTTCAAAAGTGGCCCAAATTCGAGCCGCTGTTGTTGCCTTCATTTTAATCAAACATTTAGTTTATCGTCTCACATTTCAGCTAATTAACACTACGACGGGGACCGCCTCTTTGGCTCTGTGAGATCTTCGACTTGGTTTTTGGCTTAGTCCAAGCCTTTTCGTTGCCGGCATTCGACTGATCGACTAAACGAAAATCAGCTTAAAATCATAAAAAACGCACTTAAATAAAATTTAATATTCAAATATTGACATTTAGTGCCATGTTAGCAGCAACTTAGGTGTTTTCTTCGCCCTCTCTCTCTCTGTCTCTCTGTCTCTCTCTCCATCTCTATCTATATTTCTTTCCCATATTTTTTCGAGCTGCCCTCCTAGACAATAAGTCTTAAATTATGCATGTGGATTGCCCGAGAGACGACGCAATTCGCTTAGCATTAACTAATTGATCTGCATTAATTTCCAGCCAAAGATGGCAGAAGACAAAGACTGAGACGATCGAGCAGGTGAATCGAGTCTAGTATGCTGGTAATACCTAACGTAGTTCGTATTTGTATTATGATTATTATGATGATGATGTTTTTTTTTCTCTCTCCTATTAAAATTATGACATCATTTAAATATTTTCGCCGTTGTTAGCCAGATATTTGTGTAAACTGGTTTAGGCTACTCACAATTTTCGTCGCTCTTTCTGTCGCTTTTATTGTTATTGTTGTTGTTGTTGTTGTTGTTGGGCAATTATGCATGCCCCCAAACCCCATAATTCATAAATTCATTTTGCGCCCAAAAAAAAAAAAACTTTGAAAATGCGGAAGCGCTTTGATTTGCTGATGCTTTTGGGGCCATATCATACATATCTTATCAATTCTGCCAGATTTTCAGACCGCAAAGCGTCTTGCTCTCTGGTCGCATATCAAATTATTATGGCCATAAACTTTTTATGACTTTGCTCAATATTTAGCTCGTAAAATATTTATATTTATATTTTTCTACATGTGTGATTTTGTATCTGTTCGATGGAGGTCTATCTTATAATAAAATGCTTATAAATATGAGATCGCTCACCGCATATGGATTATCCTGATTCATCATTATGGTAATCTGGGTTTGCTGAGCTCAAAGTGCTCAACCGAAAGGACTGCAATGGGAAATATTGAGATTAAAGAAATGGAATTTGTTTATGTTTTAAGTGGTAAAAGAGATTTATGATATTTAAAATCAAAAATGACATACAAAATCCGTTAACTTAGCTTGATTCTTAAATTGATTAAAAATTAATTCCCTTTACTTTTATAGGATAAATTACATTAATTTTTGAAGCAGAAAGTTTTAAAGATTTCTCTGTAATTACCACAATTTTCCCAACTGATATTGGATCAGCCCACATTTAATCGATAGCTTAACTGATCTAACAGATTGAAGATTCGCTCTAAATCCGCTTGGCATTCTGACATTTAGCCAAGTGAACGCTGCCAGCTAATAATAATAATAATAATAACCATAATAATATCGATATTTATTGCGATGCAAATGCAGTGGAAGCTGCACCTAAAAACAGCGACTGACAAAGACAATCAGCTGCCTTACATCAGTTAGAACCACAAGACCCCCAAGACCTCGTAGAACCCCCATAACGACTCTATATCATCATCGTGAGTCACCCTGCATTCAGAGCTCACTCCTGGGCAGAAGAGCTACTCGGCCAGGTCGGATCCCCACCATACACCCCCTTCCGAGAGACGAGGTGGCATGTTAACTGACAACAGGTGTTTGCTGCTCGCCGTCGTCCGTCTTGAGGTCTTTCTGCCTGCTTGCCACATTTGCATTTGATATTTTGTAAGCTTGTTTTGCTGCCGCTGTTAACGCGTTCGTACTAAATACTTTCACACTTTGTGCCCCCCTTCCTGATCCCCTTTTTTTTTTGTGCTGCAATTGTGCTTTTCCGGCCTCGGACCCCTTAAGGATGTTCAAGTCAGCACACGACCTTGATGTGTTAATTTCCCAGCCAACGCTTGTCCGTCATCTGTCCTAGGTACACTCTAAGGAAAAACCGCCTTAAAGGGGATATAGTTTTGGAAATTTTACTAAACTAAATTGGCTAATTCTATATAGTTAAAGATTTTCAGGAAGTACTCATTGAAATATGATTGCTTAATAGCTTGTCACGCTATTTCTATGACATTAAAGTGCCTGTTCTTTAAGATTGTAAGTTAAGTTAAGACAATTTCGAAAATAGATCAGTTTAGACTCAATCTCAGCAAAGTTTTTTTAGATATCAACATCCATTTCTTTGAGCGTTCTGACACTGAGAAACGGAGTCTCAGGAAAAAGGCTTGGGCTGTGATCTTGAAAGGTGCCAGGAAAAAACAAGCTGTGAAGTAGATTGCCCTAGCTAACTAGAATAAGTGCACACTCTGGGACTTGTAGAACACAGCAAACTTACAAGGCACTCGCCATAAGTACGAGTATATGGGGTCTGTCAATATTTGCGACACATGCAAAAGCAATCCAAGTTAGATTCTTCATTTGCCTGCAAGCGAGACAGGCCGCAAGGCAGTTGGAAAAATCTCTAAATGAGTTTTCTTAAAATGGAAATCTGTGCTTGATGTTCTAGTTTCTAGATTTAAGATTTATAAGAAGGCTTATTTATAATATTCTAGCTACCAATATCAGACTCATCAAATAACCATCAAATCATCTTGAATAAACTTCAAAGATAATCATAAATGTATGTTAACGATCAGCCACTCTGCTGCTTTAATCTCTTCCACTTTCCAAATCAATCCCTTAATAAGCAATAATTTCTTTCAGTGGCTCAGTTAATGCCATTCCCATGGATCTGGCCTGGCTTTTCGGATTTTTGTAACAAATATTCTGGCAAATAAAGCTTTACACGCTATTTGCATTATAAAGCAAACATGTGCGGCGGCGACTATATCTGCTGGGCAGCCATCTCGCTCGCACTTGACTTACATTGATTCTGTTATATAGTCGTAAAGTTTATTTGCCCTGCCCTTGCTGTTGTTGTAGTTACTGTTGATCTAGCCATGTTTTATGGCCACACTAAAAAGTGCACTGGTCAACAAAAAAACAAAAAACGGGTAAGAGAGAAAACTTTCTCACCAAACTGTAGATCTTCGTCTATAGGTCGTATAAGTGTCATATAGGGGAGTGTATATCTATATGGCTTGTATAATTAAATCATACAAAGCCCGGCGACAGTCGCGGACAGTTCGTCAGTTAGTCGGTTTGTCAAGCGTTATCTCAAATCGCCATCTTCCTTTTGATTTCTTCTCGTTTCTTGTTTTTGTTTTTGTTTTATGAATTCTATTCGTTAATGAATTTCACATGTTCCCCTTGATCTCCATATCCATCTCAGAGACTCCAAGCCCCGATCGCTATCCCCGTTTTAATGTTCGCATGATGGATGTGTCTCAAAAATAAAACTCCGTTCCGTTTTTGGTACACATTTTTGGAATCCCCTTTTGCAGGTTTGTTTTTTGAACCTTTGAACTTACCTGCGCTTTCTGCTTTTAACTGGCCAATCAGCTCAGATCAAGTTAATCCAATTTATTTGCTTAGTGTTTCTCTATTTTGTTGCGCACTTAGGGTTTGCTTTTCCTAACATTGTGAACTTTCCGTTTAAGGTTTTGTGTATTTTCGTGTATTTTCCGTTGTTGCTTTTGTTGATGTTTGTTGTTGTTTTTCGTTCACCTTGCGCCAATAAAACGTCACTTGAGCGTATAGAGTTGTTGCTGTTTTTGCTCAAATTGCACTTGACTTTTAGAACTTTAGGCGAGCGTGAAGCATGTTTAATATATATATATATCTTTTCGGTGTATTTGTTTTTGTTTGTTTGTTTTTTTTTTTTAGCTGGGTATATATCACATGTGGGCTATATTTATATATATGTAAATCCTAAGACTCTCTTTTGTTTAAATAAAAAGTTTGTGGTTTTATCTGGTTTGCAATATCTTTATTATGTATTTTGAAATAGAGATTTTTTTTATAGAGTGACCACACCTTTGTGTGAGGGCACTCCTGGCTGCGCACGCGCACTTGCCCTGTATTTGTTTGTTATTTTCCGCTTTCGTTGGCCGCTTTTCAATGATTTTTACGTTTAAGTATAACGGACTTTTATTTATTTACTATTATTGTGATTTATTTAATTTATTTTTTGTGATTTTTTTTTTAGATAAATTTGCATTTGCAATAGAGATTTTTAGCGGCGGTCAAAAAGAACGTAACCCCTGGGAACGTAAGGCGAAGACGAAGACGACGCAACGACGACGGCGACGTGCGATCGAGCGTGCGAGCAAGAAGCGCGAGCTATCACTAAAGACTGATGTTAAGCAGTTCTGCAAAGTGCTCAGACCTCTGCGACTCGATTCGGCGACTCAGATGCTTTGCAATATCATCCGACGAACAGCACGCTCGGTAGCTAACTGAGTTGAGACTTCGGCTACCAGAGAAATACCAACAACAACAACAACAACAACAATAACGCTGGCTGAGGAGATGATACTACTATAAACAAAAACTACAAACTGGTCGAAGAAGCAGTTACACCAACAGCAAATGAAACAAAAACAAAAACAAAAGACAGCAAAAGCGACAAACTCGATGCCCAGCTGGAGTGCATTTGTGTGTGTGAGGAAGAAGACGATTCCGATTCTCTCTAACGGTTGATACAGCCGAACACTCATCCCCCGACAGAGAGTGAGAGAGCAGGGTGAGTTTTGGGACTCGAAAGAGCTGCTTGAGCTGAAACTCCTGTCTGTGTGAGCTGTGGATTGAGTGATGTTAACGGGAATTGGAGTCATTTACGGTATTGAGTCTTATTCGCTGGCATAGCGGAAATTGAGTTAACTCATATTTCTTACTTGGACTTAAGAAGTTTTACATGGAACTGATAGTTTTTTTTATTAAAATGAAATTTATAGCATAATAAAATATAATACAAAAATATTAAAAAGGAGAAATATTTTTAATAAATTGCAACTTAAGTTTAGTCTTACATATATCTTAAAGATTTCGGATTTAGGTTTATTAAAACTTAAAGGAAGTTTCACTAATTCTTTATAAAAAATCTGAAATAAAATTTTCCATTTACTTTACGTGCTTTATTTATCAAATATTATTCTTTATATCTATATACTGAGTAAGATTTTTTTATATTTTTGCTACTTTATGCATTTATTAAAAACATAATATATATTCAAACATTTTAAATTATTTTTATTTTGTAATATTATTATTATTAATGGTACCCAATATTTTAATACATTTTTTGGTTCTCTAATAAATATACTTATTTTCCCTTAGCTCAGTTTTTACATAGCACTCAGCCTTAACTCAGTCCTAACTCGATCTCTCACCATTTTGTGCGGCCTTTGAGTGCTTCACTCACCCGACTCACACACACACACCATCCACTACACACATATAGATATATCAACTCGAATTCGTTACCACATTTGATTGGCTCGATTAACACAATCGGAGCACCGTTATAACCAGTATACCCACACAGACAAGCTACACAGAGAGCGGAATACTCATTCCGTTTCAGAGTCAGAGAGAGCCATGCACCAACACCAACGCATAACTTGATCGTGCTCCAGTCGTCGTCGGGTGTTATAGATAAACGAGCCGTGGGCGAAAACGAGACCGGACTATATGGCCGTCTCCTGTGTATCGGTCGACTATATATATATAGAGCCGGCATATATGTTCTCGTTTCGTTGACCAATGCAGAGCAGCTGGGCCGAGAGTTACCCATACAAACGAGAGCGATCAATGAGAGCGATCACTCACACAGACGCATCTATTGAAATCGTATTAGCGCTTTGCCGGTGGGCGTGGTCTATCGATCGGGGGGTAATACCCACCGCCCACCTCCCCCAAGACCCACCACCAAAGATATTCAACTCCCAGGGAACTGGATTGAAAGTGCGAAAGAGAGGGACTATGTGTCGCAAAAAGAGAGGGGTGTACATAAGACCCGAGTGATGGAGTTTTCCTAACGGTCTGCTTCTCCTCCCCTTCCCCCTATATTTCCTGTGCATCATCTTCCACTAGTTTTTTCGCCCGTTTGGCAGTTGTCAAGCTGTCATAGTTTCGATCATTAAATGCGATATCTGTTGATAGCCATAAGACATTTTACGATATTACTAACATTGTTAGCTGGCGCCCCCTAGTGCGAAAGAGAGACAAACTCGCCGATCCGCAAGATTCCAGATACCATACGAGCGGGATTAATGTATCATAAATAGCTTAGTTTCTGGAAATTATACCCCAACCGTATGGTAATCGTTAAGTATAAATTATAATTAGCCATCTTTATGCCCAAGATCTACAAAATTGAATAGTTGCAGTCGCCGGCATAATATCAATTGATTACTAAATAGTTGCGGTTGATAGTACTGGCCATTAAGTGATCGATCTATGAATATTCATATCCATAGCTCTCAAGGCGAGTACTATTTTTGCCCCTTTGGTGTATCATAAATATATATACCTTTCTAATGGGTTAATTTGCATATGTTAGCTCATGTATCTTGGCTAGAAATGGCTTAGACAACAGAGATCGATTGGGAGGGCAAATAAACTTGTTTAGTTTTAAGAAAATTTAACTTCCTTAAATTCATTTCGATTTCATTAAGTACTGTACTAATGATTCTTCTAATTCTTAGTATCCTTTCATTCGACTTTATTCAGTTCCCACAACAACATAGACCCCTAACCCAGCAAGAACGCTTTCTTAATGAAATATTTTCCAGATTGCAGATGTATTTTCCTTGGCATTTTGTAAGATGGGCGTGAAGCCAGCTTAGATCTAGGCTCAATACGATTTCTATACTAATTTTCCCACTTTTCCCCGCTTTCTCCTTGCACATCAACGTCTTATCCCATTTTGACTTTCGGCAGGAAAATGTCACAGAAGTTAATCCAATTTGCTGTTTTACGACAGGCCACAAAAACAGAGAAAACCCGCAGCTCGTTATCATCTCGTTGTTTTCTCAGTGGGATGGGTAACCCTTCTGGCTTTGGCTAGGGAAACGCCTTCGATTCTTTTGGTTTTTCGTTTCCTTTAAGTAAAATGGAAAATGGGGTGTTTTAAACCCATTACAAGGGCCCTTACCAGAAGCAGTTCGCCTTTTCCTTCGCTTTTCCTCTTGCGGTTTTCCGATTGCGGTTTCCTTGTGCACCCGCACTCTCAGCCAGATACTTTTCACAAATTTTCACGCTTTAATTTCCACTCTCTTGGCATTTGCATATGGTTAGAGAGAGAGAGAGAGATGGGAGATACGAAAAAGGAATGGAAAGGGATAGGTAGTAGTGCCGGGGCTAATCCTTGGTGAGCAACAGATTATCCCCGACAATTGTTTGTTCTTGATTTGTTTGTTATGGGTGCACAGCCGGGACTAAGGACCGCTTTTACATTCCCGTTGCTTTCTTTCTATTATACTGCACTGGGAAAAATAAATGAGTAAGAATAGAAGGATATCATTAAAGTATTTTTCCAGAGAGTGCATAGGAAAGTGAGTAAGCCTTACTGAATACCAATAACAAAAACCGCAATCATTGTTTTTATTTCACTACGAACTTTTTGCATAATTTAAATATGTGTTTCTAAGTGTATATTTTCACAAAACTGCTGCCTTACAATTGCAACAATTGCAGCAGCCGGGTAAGGCTCAAGGGGTTTCCTCTTTCGCCGCCTTTCTTTTTCCACCGCTTTTCCGCTGCGCGCACCGCCCCTTTCTGGTTACAGTTTAATGCGTTCTAATGTATGTGACTTTTGCCAGGATTTTCTCGTTTGCCATTTGCCGCCGTTTAAACTCGAAAATCGAGTGACTTGCAGAATGCTGAATCGGTGTTTTCGGAGCGGAATGTGAAATGGTATGAAAATGGTTCTGAAGTCGTCCTGACAATCAGACATCATCAATCATCCGGTCGATTTGTATCCCGGGCCCAGCATGATCGGGCCCCTTTCGATCAATATAAATATTTCTGCTGAAATTAGGTTACAGGCAAATTGTGTCCATCCGCATGAGGCATACAGTTTTGGTCTCCCTTCCAGCTCCAGTTTCAGAAAAAAAAAAATGTAAAGAAAGAAAATCTTATGTCATGGCAGGCTACCTTCTTTTTTCTCTTCTGGACTTTGAAGACTGTGCATACAATAAATTAATTATAAATGCATTAATCAATGCCAAAATCAACATCAACCGGAGCTGTATTTTATATTTTTTGTATATTTTTGACAAATACTGACATGAGTGCTCCCCGCTCGCTGTTTCGGTTCGGTTTTTGGTTCGCTTTTTCGGTTTTTTGGCTTGGTTTCGGTTTGATTTTTGGTTTTGGTTCGATTCATTCTTTTGAGGCGGCGCGTGAAATGAAAACAAAAATTTAAAACACGTTTTCGCGCTTATTTCTGACTAATTTATGCGTTCGATTTGAATTTGCCTCGTCGTTGACTCGATTCCGATTCGACAGAATTCTGTCTTCAAAATACTCTGCCATGTGTGGGGTGTTGCTAATCTTGAACTGCCATTTGCAAAAGGGAGTGAGGATATAGATTTTAAGAAAAATAATCAATATCTATTACCTTAGTTTTTCTGGGAAAAGCTTACTGCCGAATAAAAAACTAACGTACTTTAGAACCACTTCTGGAAAATCATCTTTAAAAAGTCTCTTTTAGAACCAAAGATTTCCCACCTCTCATAATTTCAGAGCATTTCCAATTCGTCAATGCTTATCTAAAACCCTTAATTCATTTCTCAACCAAGCTTGATTTTGATTGAAAGCCAGCAAAGATAGCAAAGAAAACAAAATTGATTTCCACCTTGCGGCATTTGGATGCCCGATGCTCTTTGCATGTTTCACATTTGGCAGCCTCAGTGGTTTTATTTTAGATATTCGATTTCGGTTTGCAGCTCTTTCCGTTCAGTATAGACAGAGATGTATGCAAATGAGATCATTGATCTGTTTTTGGTATCGATTTGTTTTTGAAGAGTATGGAAAACTTGAAACCAAATCATATTTGACCCTTAGGGGTCGCCACATGCCAAAATTAACGAAAACAGAAATGTTAATTTCGGCATATGAAAAATGTGAACTGTTGACCATATCTCTACATGTATATTTATATTTGTTTTGTTTTGTTTTCGTTTTGGTTTCTTTTGCTCTCTGTCCCCGTTCTACGAGCGCGAATTTGAATTTAATCAAATTAATTATGATTGTCAATGGAGCGAACTGAGCGATGATCAATTTTGGTTGAATTTCAACTTAAACTTGGTCTTGGACTTGGACTTAGACATCTCGTTCGTCTTCCCCCTCGAGTTCCGGGGACAGTGATAAATTGACAGATCAGTCGGTTGTGGCCCTAAGGCAATATCAATCAGCTTTCGAAGTGGTCCAAACAAATTGCTCCACAATTCAAGCTAACCGAAAAAGCTGTATTAATCCTAAAGTTTATGGCTGGACTAGTTTAGGTATCCCCAACAGCCAAGAACAGCTTCCGTTTTGTCCAAAAAGCCCAGACATTACCATTTCCCATTCTGTCTCGGTTGCGTGTACAAAAGTCGGGCATTGTCGGGAAAGATTTTCTCCAAATGTGGCCATAAAATGTGAACGAGTCGAACCTAAAATGCCATATTTAACAATTGTTCCACACATTCGGATTCGGTGGGAACCTGCCCAAAGTTGACATCACACATCACATCAGTCTAACCCAGCCTATGAAGAAAAGCCCCACTCTCTGTCCGTTCGGACCGATTTCAATGTGTAATTGTAACGCCTTTGTTGTTGTGTTATTAACACCTTGCAGCCAAATGGACTATGAAATTGTTGTTGTTTCGGCCAGGTGCGAAAGGTTTTTAACCCCCGCCAAAAAGCATAAACTGGAAGAAAGATCATTCCAAATGGTGTTCCAGAAAAACAAAGCTTTCGGTTCACTCTACTCGCTGGTCCGTTTGGAATTTCGTGAATTT